AGAGAGAGAGGGGGGGGGAAGGAGAGTTTTAAAATGTGGACAATTGATATTACATACTTGTACATGTAGATACATTTAGTTATACATGTTCTTATGTTGTGTAGAAACTTTAAGGTGAATCCAATTAGAATTGGATCTTTTACAAATTTTTAAAGTTGCTCTAAAATTGGACAAAAGTCCCTGTACTATAGTACATGGTCATAGGCCAAATTTCACCAAAAATGAAAAGGTGAAAATTCTCAATTTATATAATTTTATCTAATACATATACATGTTCTTATATTGTATAGAAAGTTTGAGCTGATTCCGATCACATTTGGATTTTTTACAAATTTTTTAAGTTGCTCCAAAATCGGGCCAAAGTCCCTGTACTATAGTACAGGGACTTTGGTCAAATTTCGCCAAAAATGAAAAGTATAGAATTCTCCATTTTTATAATGTTTTCTGATACATATACATGTTCTTATGTTGCGTAGAAATTTTGAGCTGATTCCAATCAAATTTATATTTTTTATGAATTTTTAAAGTTGCTCTAAATTAAGAAAAATAATATTAATTAATTAATTAATCAATTACCTGTGTTCCAATTGAAACGCCAATGCATGATATTTCTCAGCTAATACCATCATCTCTCCCTCAACGACCCACTTAGGATCAGCCTCCCCCTCCCCTCCTATCATTAAGAACACCGGCCCATTCTCCTTATCCCAGAAACTGTCGTTAACCCAGTAACGTTGCTGCCATGTTGTAGTATCGACTTCCCTCAAGTGATCACGTGATTGAGTAAACCAGAGATCTTGGGGCAGTTTGAGGTCTTTCGAGGACAAGTGGCGAAAGTATTTCTCTCTCTGGAGCCATTTATGACGGAGGAATGTTGGTAGAGAGTGAGAGAAGGAGAGAAAGAAAAGGAGAAGTATTAGTGTTTCTGCCTTCATTTTGTCACGTGTGAATAGGCGTGGCTCAAATTAATTACTTAATTTAATAACTGGTTACTAGTTATTAAAAATTAAATGGCGGCAGCAAGAAAAAGTGTAAGAAACCCTATTTCTTTTCACTTCATTTCCCTCCTCCTTCTCCTTAGCATTCAATCGTTTCTAATCTCCAAACTCTACTCCATCACGATTCAGAAGCCCCAGGCCCACATTACCTCTCAAAGAAACTAGAAACAGTCTTAATATGTCTTCCAACCGTCCCCATGCTTAGGGGCGTGGCTTTGGAAGTCCTCTCTTCCTGTTTCAAGTACCTCTCACAGTTCAAAGGTCACGAGCAGTCGTCCAAGCCTCCTCTATCATCTCTCGTTCACTCGACTTGTGAGGTTCTTTATTCTCTTTTAACTCACTCTCCGAGCGGCTGGAGCCACACCCTCCTTCAGTGGGGCGTGGTTAATTTAGCAAGACTCTCGGTTTTGTATAACGTTGATTCGTTACCGAAAGAGGGTGTGGTCAATTTCATGATGTCACAAGATTGTAAGAAAAATTAATTTTATATGTACATGTACATGTAATTCCATCTCTCTCTCTCTCTCTCTCTCTCTCTCTCTCTCTCTCTCTCTCTCTCTCTCTCTCTCTCTCCCTCTCTCCCTCTCTCCCTCCCTCCCTCCCTCCCTCCCTCCCTCCCTCCCTCCCTCCCTCCCTCCCTCTCTCTCTCTCTCTCTCTCTCTCCTTTAGCTGTCCCTTTTCTTGTTAAATTTGTAGAGGAAGGGATTCATTACAAGTAGGTGTGGTTTATTATTAATTAATTATTTATTATTATTATTTACAGACATTCCAATGAAGAGACTGATATTATTAATTTATTTATTAATATTTCACAGAAAGAGAGCGCAAACATTGGTTGGCTATTATCATACATAATGTCAGTAATTATAATAAATTAATAATTGTATTATTATTTATTTTTTATTATTCTTAGTATGGAGAATTCTTCTCTTTTTTCTGAGGGTTCGTTAATGGACGGGTGTGTCTTGACCACGCCCCTATTACCTTCAATATTAAACACGCTGTCGTCTTGTTTTGATCGTCTCTCGAGGACACACCCCCTTATAGTTAGCCACACCCTCCTTGGTATGGTAAAAAGAGTCCTTGATGAAGATGCTCCTACAAAGAGTAATGTAGTAGGCGTGGCTAGGGGTGGGGCCTCATCCGTCTACCTTCAAGTAGTTTTAGAAATGATGCTACAAAGTCACTCAATCCTTGATCTCGTCATTACTGACGTAATCAAATTAAGTGAGCTAATTAGTAGGTGTGGTCTGTTACCATGACAATACCATAGTTACCCCTGAGGTCATATTATCCCTGGTCTGCTCTGAGTTGGAGAGAGGAACAAACGAAGAGAAAGAAGAGGGGGAAGAGGAAATGGAGACTGATCAGGACTCACCCCTTCTCTCTTCTCTCTCGTCTTTGTTGTTACAGTTATCTCATGACAGAGCTGTAGTCGCCATTAATCTGTTACTCTCTTCTCTTAATTATTATTCGTTGAGTTCTGGCGATAAAGTGGGCGGAGCAGAAGAAGAGGAGGAGGAGGAAGATGGAGAAATTAATACTTTAAGTTTAGCCAAAGGACAATTACTAGAGGCAGTCAAGCAATTACTAGTCAGTTTATTAATTAATATTAATTATTATTATTATTATTACTGTTCCTATAGAATTCAGTTCTGTCAGTTTGTAAGAAAGGAGTTTCATTTCTTTTATTTTCGTCAAACGAGGATGAACCCTCTCCTGGCAACAAGAAACCTGTTAATGCCTTCTCTCCCATACAATACATCATATCAATACAATCCGGTCTCCCTGAGTGGGTGGAGCTAGTTATTAAGTCACCTGATAACCACTGGTGAGAATAAGAAACATTGTACATGCATTGTATATTTTCTTAAAATGGCCGTAACTTGAAAAATTTAAGTCGGAATCAGCTCAAACTTTCTACACAGCATAAGAACATCAATATGTATCAGAAAATGTAATAGAAATTGGGGGTTATTTTTTAGCCATTTTTCAGAAAAAGCCATGGGCTATAGCCTTGGGTATTTTTCAGATGTTGGTCTATTTCTTAAAATGGCCGTAACTTTAAAAATTTAAGTCGGAATCAGCTCAAACTTTCTAGACAGCATAAGGACATCAATATGTATCAGAAAATATCATAAAAATTCGGGGTCATTTTTTAGCCATTTTTTGGAAAAAACCATGGGCTATATCCTTGGGTATTTTTCAGATTTTGACATATTTCTTAAAATGCTTATAATTCAGTATATCAATGATTGTTCTTAGGTTGATCCAGCTGGTGGAGAGTGTCGGAATGACCTCATCTGAAATAAGTGGAGCTACTGTACTCAACACTTTATTGTCCTCTACCAATAACAGTAAAGTAAGATATAAGAGGAATATGGACTGATAGATAGAAAAAGTGATAATTATTGTATCGGTTTTTTCACCATGCAGCTGTCAAGTTTAGTCGATCATTTATTCAAAAGATATCGACTGCGTCATCCCTCCATAGCCCAGTCACTCATAACCCAAGGGGTAACCACTGGACTGATGAAAGAGAATGGCAATGAAACAATAAAGAAATGGAGTATCAACTTACTAACTTTAGCAAGAAATAACGAGTGAGGAGAAATATTGGAGAAGAGATAGATAGAATTTTTTGTGTACATGTACGATATTTTTAAAAATATTTTCTACATGTAGGTCATGTTTTCAAGGTGCTTTGCTGTCATCATTCAATTCTCTACTCCTCCTTCTCCCTCTCTCTTCCCCTCTCTCCTCCATTCACATCCTGTCACTACTGGAAACAGTATCGGCGAGAATGGCGAGAGAATCACAGTTATCGACTTCGTTGTCAGCAGCTGGAATATTAATTAATTATTACCTGAAGACTCTGGGGGATCTGTCAATAGCAATTATGAATGGTTAGTGCAATGGGGTCTCTTTTTCAACTCTCTTTCTCTTTTTACAGATGCCCCTATCTTGTATGAATATGAACAATTGCTGAACAAGATAAGATCATTATTGTCTCATTTATCAAGTGGTAACAGTCTCATTGAAGTATTCATTTGTTCAAATATATTGAGAACCATCACCAGTGAGGTAAGCACCTTATTAACTGTTGGCAGAGTACTGTGATATTAATAATTTTATTTTAGAGTCAAATTAAGCTTGGTCCATCTCCACCAGGTTAGTTAATTGCTTAATAACTATTAATAACTATATTAATTAGGGGGTGTGGCTAGTAGTTTATTAACTATTAATAATCAAATGAGGCTCGTTGTGTCTGGTAATTTATTAAACACGAGACAGTCCCAGCACTCTGAGAGTCTCTATCGACAGACTATGAAGAACCTCATAGTGGAGGACAAGGTTACTATTAATAGAATGAGTGTTACTAAAAATAGAATGAGTGTTAC